GAAGAATAGAAGGCTGAGTCAACCTTGAGCCGGCTACCTGGGATTTGAACCCCAGGTCGTGAGCACAGTTTTTGCTGCAGTACAGCGTTTTAACCACTGCGCCACGAGACTACAGGAAGAACACCCAAGTGGGTTCTAGATCGAATCAAGCCAGAACATTTTCTAGAACAAGTAATGACCAAATGGAAGCTCGTGTACAATTGTGCATTGTCGTGTGAATATAACCTCCTCCAAAACTGTGTAAGCAGTGCCTTTGACAGGGGAGCAAAGTGGGGGAAAAATCAAATAAATAAATAAATAAATAAATAAATAAATAAATAAATAAATAAATAAATAAATAAATAAATAAATAGGACATGATGGCTGGCATCAGAATCCCCAATCCAGCATGATCTTTGCTGGGTTTTTTAAAATACTGTATACCAATCAGCATTAGGAAACGACTAAACACACACACACACATACCAATCAGCATTAGCCTGGCTGATTGTTGCCAAACTAAAACAGTGCTTCACCAAACCCTTCAAGGAATAAAGATCTGACTTTGGTATTACTTTGTGGCATTCAGTTGTAAGTGTGTGGTTTCATACAAGTCTGAACTTTTAAGCAGTTTAATAGGTTTTACATTGTTTCAAAAGGTTATATTGCTTCCTATGGGCTAAACTGCTTTCTTATGGCTAAATTGCTTTCCTATGGGCTAAACCTTTTTGTAAACCTGCCCTGCCCTTTATGTTGGGGATATAAAGAGATTCTGAATAAATAAGTTTATTAACAGTCAGAGTGTTCCCGGATATTGGATGTGTAGCTTGAGAACTCAAAATAAAACAAGATAAGGAAGAAACATTACGAGATGAATTATACAGGACATTTCATGCAGTAAGAGAAAAAACTATTTATGGAGGTACAGTACAGTGCATAAGGTTGATGATACCAGCCACAGCATTTTTTTCAAAATAAAATGATTCTGGCCTGCAGTAGTCTTCTGTGAGATCTCCTGCATTGTGAGGAAGCTGATGGGGGAAATATTAAATTCTTGAACGTCACTGCCACTAGTAAAAATCATCCTAGCAGTTGCAATTATTGGAAATTAAAGACTTCCTTCTCATACTGTGCCCCCTCCTGTGTTTTTCCCAGATTGAAAGGGATCCTATGGAAGTCTTGGGATTCTTTCTGGGGAGAATCCCCAGAATCTGTCATCATCACCCTATCTCCTGAAAAGGACATAAGCTGTTCCCACAGCTATAAATACTCAACTATCCAATAAACAGCAACAGAGCATGGACAGAGTTCCTACTCCAGTCCTCTGAAGATGCCCACCACAGAAACTGGCGAAAAGTCAGGAAGAACAACCTTCAGAATACGGCCAAAGAGCCCGAAAAATCCACAACAACCATCAGCTCCCGGGTGTGAAATCCTTCAAGGAAATCAGAATGTTTTTTTATTTTGGAAAAATCTCCAAGGCATTAAGTGTTCAGGCTTGGTGTGGTGAGAACTTCACTCTTATTAAATGTCAACTGACTACAGGTTCTGAGGAGGTGCATCAACCAGAACACAAGATCGTCCAGCAGTCCAGACAGTGAGAAGCAAAGAACCGGCTTCTTGCTATGTGGACTGCCACTGCATGGTATATTTTCTGTATGAAGGATGAGCTGTGTCCTGGGGATTTTCTGCCCCATCAAATCTTGGCGACCAACAAAACCTCCGCATGATGATTCAAACGCTCGGCGATCGTGCCAGCGGTTAAGTGGCCTTCCATGCGCATGCGGGAAAATAATTTTACACTGGGTGGTTTTCAACCGAGCGAATCTGGGGCAGGAAACCTCAGGGTGGCTGCCGCCCGAGCCTATGGCCTCTGGGTGCTTTTCCGAAAGAGCGTTAAATGGCCTCTGGGTCACCTACAGGAGATGTGAAGCATTCTCTCATTGCCGTCGCCCTGGTAACGGCAGTGACCCCTTATCCGCTTCTGGATGAAGCTGCTGAGACCGAAATCATGCACAGACACCCTCATCATGTCTTAGAAAGAGAGAGAGAGGAAAAGCAAGAGAACAGTGCTCCTTTGCTAGCTGATGATTGTGCTCTGATCTTTGCCCAGCAGCGTGCTGGTTGCCGTGTTTTGCACTCATAACCCAGCCCCCTCATATACCCAGATCTCATGGCATGCTCAAAGAGAAGGATGAAGAAGGACAGGAGTCAAGGTCTCCAGGATGCCTGCTCTTTCCTGAGTCTTAGTTCGGTCTCAAGATCTCCATTATTATGTGTCTGTAATCCTTGCATGGTACCCAGTGCAGTGCTGTGGATGGAGTGAAGGACTGACTAGACCCGAGTTCAAATCCCTGCTCAGCCACCCCTTAACTCTCTCACGTTTCTCAAAAGTCCTATTAGGGTTTCCATAAGTTGTTTCCAAACTTGGCGGCACATAAAACAACTGAATCCTTGTATGCCTTTTTTTCTCAAATGAAAAACGTATGTGTATGTAAATACTATTTTTTACAGTGAGGCACTTTTACAATCCTCAAAAGTCCTATTAGGGTTTCCATAAGTGAGGCACTTTTACAATTAGAATTAGAGATCTGAAAGAGAGGTTTAGCTGTGGATCCATCTCATACGTGGTCTTCCTCTTTTCCTGCTGCCTTCATCTTATTTTCTTAGGCTTTAATTCTTTCCCCACTGAGTCTGTCATCTTGCGATGTTTCCAAAGTACGACAGCTTCTCAATTTCCTCAAATAATACCCAACGGCAAATTCACATTTTAAACAACAGCTGCTCTCCTAAAGAGGCATTTAAAAATATGAATGCAAAGGGGCTTCATAATCATGCAAACAGGCTTTAAAAATCTTAATTTTAAGTAATTCAGCATAATTCTGTTGAAATACAGAAATATCATAAAACACATATTTCCAGACCGGCTTTTAACCATCATGACTGAGTCCATGAATGCTTTTTTCTTTAAAGTCAAGATAGTTTTTTAGTGTGTTATGTGCTTACAGGCTTTAAAAATCTTAATTTTAAGTAATTCAGCATAATTCTGTTGAAATACAGAAATATCATAAAACACATATTTCCAGACTGGCTTTTAACCATCATGACTGAGTCCCTGAATGCTTTTTTTTTAAGTTAAGATAGTTTTTTAATGTGTTATGTGCTCTTAATCATTCAATGAAGTTTAATCAGCTTTATAGTCTAATCATTTTAAAATTATTGTGGTTTTAATTCTGCCTTTTTAGTACTGTGAGCTACCTTGAGTTCCCTGACCAAGAGAAAGGCAACCAAATAAATAAATAAATAAATAAATATTTTAATGTTAAAGGAATGCAGTTAAAAGCTACTTGATTAGTAACTATAAGGACTAAAGTTCCTGCAGGCTGGTTTTGTTCACTAGCTCCAAATCTAACCTAAGGCCATTTTTTAAAAAGAGGCTGCTGAGGCCTTCAAAGGCAGCAATATTTGAATGTTTATCTCCTGCTCTGCTGCCTTCTTGGAAACATTGTGCTGTCTGGGTATATTTGCCATTTTATTTGTGTCTTGTGCCACGTTAAAATGTTGACTAAAACTGCGATCAAGTCTGATTTCTTCCTCATAACTCAGTAAACAGGCTAAGGTGGATGAAATTTGTAGTACAACATCTGGAGGGGCGTAACTTTCCCACTCCTGACCTGCATCCAGATTTCAAGATTTTCAAGAATTCTGTTTTCTATAAACCTCCTTGTAGCTATTTCAGAAAGACCAAAAAAGAAAAAAAGAAAGAAAAAGAAAAAAAGAAAAAAAGGGGGGGGGAAAAGAAAAAAAAGGGGGGGCCTAGGTGAAATCAAGCCTGGAAACAAAAATGTTGAAACGGAGGCCTGTCCTACTTTGGGCACATCATGAGAGGGCAGGATTATGTCTAGAAAAGACAATAATGCTAGGAAAAACGGAAGGCAGCAGGAAAAGAGGAAGGCCAAATATGAGATGGACTGACTCCCTCAAGGAAGCCACAGCCTTGACTGGGCAGTTAAGAACAGGACATTCTGGAAATCGCTCATTTGTGGGGGTCACCATAAGTCGGAGGTAGCCTGACTGGTTAACCCTGAACGATGCTTTGAAGGTTAATCTTGAGGTCCTAATATTCCTGCTGTTTCTATGGCAGACGGGGGCCTAAAGAGTTAAAGTGAGGAAGTCTGGCTTCCTAGAGAAGCCACTTCCTCTTCAGCCCCCCCCTTTGCAATTGATTCTATGCAGGGGGAGCAGCCCTGGGTCTTCCCCACTGCAGCTGCTGGTG